CCCCCCCCCCCCCCCCCCCGACTGTCCGCTGTACAAGAAGGAGAGGAAAGTGCACATCACTGAGCTGGAAAAAGTAGGCGAAAAGTGAAGGGAGATGTTTGAGGCATGGGATAGCCAGGAGAAGACGTTAGCTGTACTGGGGCATAGGAAGTGGGTTGAAAAGGCGGGAAGTGATATTGGTAGAAACGATATCGGTAGGATGGATAGACTAGGGAAGAAATTTCTGAACCACCTTTGGCGAAGTAGGAAGGAACCATTGGCCATCGGTGATCGGTCCTGTGGGAACAACGCTCCATCCTCTCGAGGACGCGTGCACTGGTCTAACCGCTAAGGCATGCAAAACATGAGAGTACCCCCCCCCGGACTATCGGATTTTCAAAGCTCGGTTACACTCCGCGAAACGAAGAGGATGCCACAGTAAAACTTTGCCGACGAGGAGGATGAAACGCCGCCAATATAGGCACCACTGCCACTGTTTATGCTGCAAGGAATCAAGCTTCGAAAATCGGTCCGGGGGGTGATTGTGCAGCCTACCGTAGGCCTGACGGAATAGAACACTGCACTTTCTGGCATGCTGTGCCCACGGGCTCTTGATCCTTTGCAGTGGGCCAGTTTTTCCAGAGTCAACAACCAATGACACCAGTAGCACAACACAGCAATACAAGCGGCAACAACACAGCGGGAAATAGGACAGCCTCCGTATGCACAGCAACAACACCAACAAGCCACATCAACATTGCTAACACTACATCGCTATTTTGACTCCGAACCAGCAGTCTATCTCACGTGTCCATGACCCTCCTCGCTGCACTCGGAGGAGCCGTCGCTGTCGTGCCCCTTCTCCCCCTCGTGCTCGTGCTCCTTGTGCTCGTGGCTGTGACCGCCACAGGAAGGGGCCACCTCTACCCCGTCGTTGTTATCCTTAGCCTCTTCCTCCGAATGGCACGAACTGCATCCCGACTCCGGGATCGTATCTTGGCTGTGGGTGTGCGCCTCTGTCGCGAGAATATTAACAAGTTTGCATACGGTACGTGGGTTGGAGTTGAAGGACAGGAACATCAACAGTGGGGTTGTATACAACGGGTTAGGTGCATAGCAGTCGCTTGTATTCAAGGGTCCCCGTAGATATGCGTAACCGTCTGTTGTACACAAGACAATTGACACCGCTGCCATTGTCAAGGGATTGGAAAACCAAATGGAGGGGAAGGGCATGCCGCCGCATCCTCGACAGCGCACAACCGCGGCAGGCGGTCCAAGCCGGAACGTTAGTGGGTCAGACCGAAGAATAGGGATGGAATGCCGTACCAAGAGACCCACCTACCACGGTCGGACCGCAATCGATCGCACAATTTGGTCAACGATGAGATGGTGCATCATTGCTTGTTCCTGGCGATCTTTTTTGCCTTCACACTCCGCCGCCATTCGGGGTAGATGAGAACGGATCAACACCAGAGAAGACAAGAGGAGCGATGTACATGCATCAAACCAACCCCTTTCAGCCTTCTCCAAGAACCCACGTACACGCATCAAATCAACCCCTTCGGTCTTCTCCAGGCCTCTGAGCAGCAACGTAAAGAGGAGAAAAATGAATCGCCTTCGACAAACGTTGGGCAGATGGGACCTTCGTAAAGGTGATCACCTCCACAGCAAGCACCAACCAAATCGCCGCAAAACTGGAAAAAACGTTGCCGTTATAGAGTGGAATGATACGCACACAACATCAAACACCAACAAGAAGCACGGTGCAACGAGTGGATCGAATCCATGCTCCCCGACAGACGATTGGGGGGGGATGGAAACCACTTGCCGTCCAAAAATAACAAAAAATAACAAAAAATGTTCCGTGGTTGGCGAACAGCCCAACTATCGCTCATTTGGCCTCCCGCATCGGACCTTTCCCTGTTCCCGCTATGTTCGACGAAGGAAGAAAATTATAAAATTACGACGTCACCTCCACAAAATCATCCACCTTCTAAGCCTCTTGAAATTAAGTCCTCACCCGCGTGCGCGTGGGAGTGTCCAACATCAACGGCACTCGCTTCTGCTGCTGCTGCCGCCGCCGCAGTCGCCGCCGCCGCCGCGCTGTTCTCCAGCGCCGCCATCGAGTCCTTGTGGTCATCGATGGTGCCGGAGTCGGCCACGCCCTGGCCGTCCATCACCCCCAACACGTCTGTTCCCGCAGCGTCGGCGTAAATTTAGAGCTATCTACGGGAATGAAATTTTTTGTTATTAATCACTGCTGGGCGCGCAAAAAGTCGGTTGTATCTCTTCTGATGTTACGGGTTTCGTGGACGAAGTCTTCGTGGGCATGTCTTCCCGAAAACCAACAAAAAAGAGCACAAAAAGTGTTGACATAACGCACACACGTACACTGTATCTTTTTTGGTGGTATGTTCTGTGATGTTTTCTCCCACTTTAAGTAGTTCTAGCGTGAGGGATGAAAGGAAGTCTGACGCCATGCCTTGGTCCTCTTGGTATTTGTAAAGTACTGTCGTGCATTCTGACAATAACGTGTGGTGGTCTTTCGTTTTTCGTGCAACAACCTACACCTTGTAGTGTTCGTTTTTCTCCAGAAGATAGCGCGAGACGCAGCACGAGCCATATCCAACATCACATCACACTGGTGACACTAGTCACTTCCCTTGGTGGAGCCTTGTACTTCATCTTTTGGTGACATTTCTCGCACCCCAATAACTATCACCTACAGTAGTGGCGTCGTGTGAGTGACTATACATTCTCAGGCGGGTGACACGAAGGTATCACACCCCCTACACACTACTTGCACGCGTGTCATGTTCTGTGTACATCCCACTACGTTGTCACACGAGGGTGAGTGGCTGAAATTCCACACGACAAGGGCATCACAAACATTCTTCGGCGTGTGTGTAGCACGCACCGTGTATTCCAACGTTTCCGTACGTGCATCCAATCACTCGCGCGTGCGGGTTCAGCGCCATCAGGATCTGACAAAACGCATGCAAGGGCAGGGGAGGCGAGACAAATGCTTGATGAAGATTAATAATGAACATGGGGGTAAGGAACGTTGTGCCTCCATCCATCCTTGGAGTGCAGCGGGGGTGACGGGGATATCCATCTCTTCACGTGGATTCCTACGAACAGGGCAGCAGACTTCTATCATTCCCATGGACATGCGAAAGCGACAGAGGCATGGTCAATGCCTCTGGTTTGTCTATGACGAAGTTTGGACATATCCCAGACGGGCTGACGAATGGGGAAATTGGCGGGGGGGGG